GAATTTTTCTTCAAGTTTCAATCTAAATATCTGAGGAGCCAGAGTGATAGTAGAGCAGCAGGATGATTACCTTGCATGCAGCCAACCCAGGCTCAGTCCCCATTTCCCCGGAACCTCATGTGATCCCAGAGCCCACCAGGAGTGATTCCTGAGCTTAGAGTCAGGAGTAAACCCTGAGCACTGCTGGGCGTGGTCCCCAAACCAAAAAGACAACACCAACCTAAATAGCTGAGACATTTTCCTTGACTACTTCTAGCCCTTCCTCCCACCCCATGTCTTTTTAAAGTTTTTGGACTACACCTGGCTGTGCTTTGGTTTACTCATGGCTCTGTTCTTGGGGGACTGTATGAGGTGCCCGAAAGCGAACCTAAGGGTCAGCTGTGTGTAAATTAAGTGTGCGCTGTGCCACTGTGACTCCTGTGCCGTCACGCCTACCCCTACAGCATTTTCCATATGGTTGTTGATGCGGCTCCAGTGGGATCATGTGACTGGTGAATTTTGAGAGCAACTGAAAAGATAATAGTTTGTTTTCAGGCCACACCCCACTGCTCTGGGGACCCTGTGAGGCTAACAGAAGAAGCCGGGCCGCCTGCAGGCAAAGCATGTGCTTCAGCCCTGGAGCTACTTTCCAGTCCATGCCAGCGGGTAGTCATACACAGCCCTGGAATACGAATTGCTCAAGATGAGGGACAGTATTTTTCCCTGCTGCTGCTTCAGTTCTATTTTGTGTTTTGTTTTGTTTTGCTTTTTGGGTCACACCTGGCAATGCTCAGTGGTTACTCCTGGCTCTGCACTCAGGAATTACTCCTGGTCGTGCTCAGGGGACCAGATGGGATGCTAGAGAATGAACCCAGATCAGCCACATGCAAGGCAAACACCCTACCTGTTGTGCTATCACTCTGGCCCCTCAGTTCTTTTGGATGTTCCCTTTTTCTTTGCTTGCCCTCTCTCCTGTTTCCCTCCCAATGGAGAAAGCACAACAGCTTTCAGAGAATTCCCACTCTCCTTCTCTGAGTTTCGCTTTCCTTTCCATGGGTTTATTGACATGCCCTCTGACACTGACACCATTCCTCAGTGTGCACTGGACAGTGTCACTGCACACAGGTAACTCTTCTGCCTTACCTGAGTTCTTCCAACAGCACAAGTACCTCCTTACTCTCCTGCTGCTTCTCACAGAATCTATGGAGACAGCTGTGTGTTTTGTTTCACTTTTTAAATTATGTTTTTTTTTTTAAATTTGTTTTTGTTAATGTCGAAAGCACAGTGGTAGGGCGTTTGCCTTGCATGCAGCCAACATGGCCAACCCGAGTTCGATTCCTCTGCCCCTCTCGGAGAGCCCGGCAAGCTACCTAGAGTATCTCGCCCACACGGCAGAGCCTGGCAAGCCACCCGTGATGTATTCGATATGCCAAACACAGTAACAACAAAATCTCCAATGGAGACGTTACTGGGCCCGCTCAAGCAAATCGATGAACAACGGGAGGGCCTTTACCTTACCTTAATGTCTGTGGGCTATACCTGATGGTGCTCAGGGCTTATTCCTGGTCTTGCTCTCAGGGACCACTCCTGGCGGTGCCCAGGGGTCTGTATGGGATGCCAGAGAGAGAACCTGGGTTGGCCATTGCAAGGCAAGCGCCCTACTCCCCGGGCTATCGCTCTGGCATCATGAGTATGTTCCACTTTATTAAAAAAATTTTAAAGGGTTTTTATTTATTTTGCTTTTCTGGGTCACATCTAGTGATGCTCAGAGATTGCTCCTGGCTCTGCACTCAGGAATTACTCCTGGCAGTGTTTGGGGGCCCATGTGGAATGCCGGGAATTGAACCCAGGTGCAAGGCAAATACCCTACCCGCGATATTATCACTCTGGCCCCCATGTGATCCACTTTAGCATTGGCCATCCAATCTAAAAAGTCACCACTGGAGCCAATGAAAGCCCTTAGTCATTGTTCTACAGAATGTATGTGGCAGAGTGGGTAACAGTGAAGGAATGTTGTCAGAGTGGAGGAACAGCCAGAAGGCCTGGAATGAAGGCCCAGCTCTGCCACTGAAGGAGAATGGGGAATCATCCTTTCCTTGACAGTAAAGCCAGTTCATCATCATCATCATCATCATCATCATCATCATCATCATCATCATACCTACTCCAGGAGGCTCTGAAGATTGAATAATCTTTTTGGGGGAGGATGGGGATTTGGGCTACACCTGGCAATGCCCAGACGTTACTCCTAAAACTCCTGCAGACATTTAGGAATCACTCCTGGCAGTGCTCAGGGGCCATATGGGATGCTGGGGATCAAACCCAGGTTGACCACACACAAGACAAGCACCCCTCCCCACTGTACTATCGTCCAGCCCCTAAATGGGGGTCGGGGGAGGTCTTCTGTGTTATTCAGGAAACTTCTTGGTAGCTGGCTTGGTTAGAGAGCTTTGGGTCTTAGATGTACCGACAGCAAGGAGATAGGGACCCTGGTGCCAAGGAGTGTGTCTGGGATCTGGCCCACCCTTTTCTGGAAGGCTAGAAGAAGCTGGCCTCAAAACTTGGATTTTCCTAAGAATGCCTCTCTCATGCCATGCCATTCTGGCCCACCCCTAGGCCTTTGCTCTCCCTGGATGGTTGGCCTGGAGCTGAGAACTGTCTCTTGTTTCCACGGCCCTTGTCTGCAGCAGGTTTTCTGCCTCTCTGGGCAAAGTCTCGCCTTTGCAGGCTGCGGTCCTTCAGATCTGCAACTCCCCACCAGACGGTTGTCCTCCTCCTCATGAATATGCCTCATGTTAGATGCAGCTTCAGCTCCCTAAAGAATGGCCGGCAAGTGCACTGAGAATCCGGCATGGTCCTGGCCTGAAATAGGCCACAGAAGGCATGCATGAGTGGAAAGAATGGCTAAACTATTAACTCAGTGAGCATCTCTCCCATGTCAGGCTTTGGTGTTTCAAAGTTGAGTAAGACGGTTCCTACTTGTAAGGAACGTTTCATCTTTAGGGGTCATTTGAGAGGCACTTAACCTAGTTTATCTTGTTAAAGTCTCCAGGTAACCCTGGAAGAAAGCTGGAGGTTAAGAAATAAGCCCTCGTGATAAAGGTCGGCCAGGGCTAGTCCAGCCAGGAGGCAGGAGTCCTGGTTTCTTCCTGCCACTCACCTCGGTGCCTCTCCCTGCTGCCAAGACCAGGGCCCAAAGATTGGAAGGAGTTGGGAGAAGGACCACAGGGCATCCACGAAGAGCCCCAGTCCAGATCTGACCCCATCATTAGTTTGGTGACCTCGACGAGCTACTCAGTGTCTCTGCTGTCAGCCTCATGTGGGGAAAATATTGCAGTGAACACAACCACCAGTCCCCATCTCTCAGCACCCAGGGTATTGTGTGTGTGTGTGTGTGTGTGTGTGTGTGTGTGTGTGTGTGAAGCAAGATAGTATTTATTGAAACCAAATGTAATTAGATGCAAAGCGGGTTGGTGTGGGGGGGAGGGCAGGGGGGAGAGAAATATGTGTACAGGAGAGAACAAGCTCAAAAGAACAAGCAAGCAAAGATACACAGAGGCCAGCAAGTGAGACATGTTCAAGGGGAGAATACAGGCTAGAAGGAGCAAGCCAACCCCCTCAATTTTGTTTCCCCCCCCCCCCCCCGGGCTGTCCATGGCATGGGAAGTCAGTAGCCCTAGAAGTGATTCTTCAGTGGACTGGTCTTTGGATGCCAGTGTCCATTGTCCTGACAAAGACCCTCCTGATCCTGTACCCGCCCTAGTCAGGGGTCTCTGGTTCCTAACCTTGTATCACTCCTGCTTCTCCCTCTCTGGAGAGCTCCCCACCCTCCCTCCAATTAAGCCCCTTTATGCCTCAGCTTCCATCCAAGTACTAACCAGGCCCGACCCTGCTTAGCTTCCGAGATCAGACGAGATCGGGCGTGTTCAGGGTGGTATGGCCCAGCGGTAGGGGTTTGCCTTGCACGAAGCCAACGTGGCCAACCTGAGTTCGATTCCTCCGCCCCTCTCGGAGAGCCCGGCAAGCTACCGAGAGTATCTCGCCCGCACGGCAGAGCCTGGCAAGCTCCCCGTGACGTATTCGGTATGCCAAACACAGTAACAACAAAGTCTCCAATGGAGACGTTACTGGGCCCACTCGAGCAAATCGATGAACAACGGGAGGGCCATGCCTCAGCTCAGAAGGGTCCTTTGCTATTGCATGCAACCACACACACAAAGCTAACGTCATTGATCCAAATACCTACCATGGGGCCCGAGAGACAGTCACAGGATTAAGGCTCTTTCTTTGCACACAAATGGTTTCCAGAGCACTACAAGAAGTGATCCCTGAGCATAGAGCCAGGAGTAAACCCTGAACACCACGAGTGTGGCCCCCAACAAAGCAAAATCAAATACCTACCTGCAGGATTCCCGGGGTTACCTGACCTGTCGGCCTAGCCCCAGCAGCGTGGCTGACTGTCAGTAAGGGGTGGGAGATGTCTGACTCTGGGGGCAGGGCAGGGAGAGGGAGGGAGACAGTTTTGTGTTCGGGTCACACCTTAGCACCCTGGAGTGGGAGCTGGTGGCACCCCCTGGCGGTATTCAGAAGACCGGTGGCAGCCCCTGGCAGTATTCAAGTGACCGCCTGGTTCAGGGGACTCACGGAAAGCCGGGCGTTTGGGTTCTCAATCCTGGCCATGAAGTTTTGATCCGTTTAGGTCCAACCTGGAGAAGTCTTCTCCCAGGAGGAAGGAGAGAAGGCCATGCCCGGGTATGCTCATTTACTGAAAATGTCTTTATTGAAACAGATGAGAGCGCAAGGAAGAATGAGGCCTGGGAGGATGTCTTTGGGCACAGGAGGGGAGCCCAGACCTATTATGGTGACGGGTGGAAAGAAGCTCTCCCCGCCCTCAACTCGCACGCCTGGGAAGTGAAGACGAAGCAGCGGGGAGGAGGCGGGGTGTGCGGACGACCCTCTGTCCTGGGCTTCTGGGGTGGCCCGGCCTTCCTCACTCGCTCCTCCCCACCTCTGCGCCCCCCCCCCCCCACCCCGCCGGGCTGCGCGCCCCCTTGCTAGACGGGCCAGCCTTCTACCAGGGCGCTCAGAGAGCGGGGTTGGGGGTGGCAAGCAGCGGGACGTGGTCACAGCGGTTGGGGGGGGGCTGCCGCAGCAGGGACGGCCGGCGGCACAGCTCCCCGTCCCGGAGCACTTCCGGCAGGAGCTTGCGCTTGGTCTCCGGGAGCAGCATGATGCTGAGGATGCAGAGGAGGGCGCAGGCCGCCAGCACCACGTGCTGCAGGAAGGCGCCGTGGCCCATGTGGAGGCGCTGGGCCGGCCCGCTCAGCCCCCCCAGCGCCCCCAGCGCCATGATCAGGCCCAGACCGCGGCCCCTGCAGGTGGGGGAGAGACGGACAGGCACTCAGCCTCTGGGGGGAGGTCGCCCCCGGCCCTGTCCAGCCGCCTGCCCACCCCGCACTCACCGCACAGTGGTCGGGATGATCTCGGCCGCCAGGAGGGTGCTGAGGATGCCAGCAGCTTGGGAGGCAAAGAGGCCCAGGACAGAGAAAGTGGTGATGGCCGCGTCGTTGAGATCTGCAGGACAGAGAGCAGGGAGGTGAGAGGGGGCTGGGAAGCGGGACTCGGCCTGTTCCCTGTCTCTGCCCCTTGGATTCCTGATCCTGCGGCTTGGGGTGGGGGTTGGGGGCCCCTCCCTGGGCAGCGCCTGATGAAGAGAACAGGCAGGGAGCGTGGTGGGGGGGAAGAGGGGGCAGGGGTGGGAGAGGCGAGCAGGGGTCTGTTCTGTTCTGCTCTCGGGTGGCCCGTGCCGGAGGTGGTGGCGGAGCCTGCATGTGGCACCTCTGCTGGGCTTCCGTGGCTGGGCCCACAGTGTGGGGGAGGGAGGATGCTCACAATCCCACAGGCCCAGCAGGACCAGGGACGCGATGCCCGTGAGGGTCATGGAGAGGAGCAGGATGCCCCGGCGGCCAAACCGGTCCACAGTCACCCCCAAGAAGACACAGGCCAGCGCCGCAGTGCCACTGGCCAGCAGGGAGCACAGGTAGAAGTCCGACGGGCTCCCGCCTCCTCCGATGGGCTGGTAGCAGTGGCCGATGGCGTGGGCAATGAAGCTGTGTGGAGGGGTAGGGGACAAACAAGCACGTGTCAGAAGCCCTCAGCAGGACCTGAACACACACACACACACACACACACACACACACACAAGCACGCATGCACACACACTCCCACACACATGCACACACACGCCCACACACATGCACACCCCTCCCCTCTGCAGTCTCCCTCCTGCCCGCTGCCAGCCAAACCTCATCCCAGCTACTGGCCTGGCGGCAGCCTCAGCCTTACTTGGTGAAGCCCAGGATGAGCAGATTTTTCCAGAGGTTGCGGTAGTTGAGGAGGGAAGCGAAGGAGAAGGAGGATGTCGCCGGGAGGGGGCAGGTGTTCTCCAGGTCTTGGGGAGAGAGAGGGGCTGTCCGTTAGGGGGGACAGTGCAGGACCCAGGGCCCTGCACTATGGATGGGGATAGGTGGAGAGTTACCAGCACATGGGGGGCGTGTTACACTGTGAGGTGTGCATGACGCACCGCTTGAGGGACTCTGCCCCACCCTGTCCCCCACCCTGCAGAGATCCCTGTTCCCCACCCTGCAGGGACCCTGTCCCTTACCCTGCAGGGGCCCTGTCCCCCACCATGCAGGGACCTCTGTCCCCCACCCTGCCCCTTACCCTGCAGGGACCCTGTCCCCCACTCTGCAGAGACCCCTGTCCCCGACCCTGCAGGGACCCTGTCCCCCACCCTGCCCCTTACCCTGCAGGGCCTCCTGGGCCTCCTCCCCCAGCATCTGCCCATGAGGCCTGTTCCGCTCAGCCAGGATCCTCAGCACAGACTGAGCCTCCTCGATCTGCCGCTTCACTATCAGCCACCTCGCCGACTCCAGAAACAGGCCGGGCCAGCTGGGGACGGGTGGAGGGGACACTCTTGAGTGAGTGGGCTCCCCCATGTCCTGACCAGGGATGGGAGAGCCCCGCCCCGCGCCCCCACGCCCCTCCAAGGAGGCCTGGTCATGGGTCAGTGGAGAAGAGGAGGGACTCAAGGTGGCTGGAGGTGGGGAGGGGAAGGCCCAGGGCGCAGGTGGAGGACAATACTGACCCATAAAACAGGAAGAGGATGCAGGGAGCCGTGATCATCCGCTGCAGAAAGCGCCAGTCCTTAGAGACAAGGGCCAGGCCCAGGAACAGGAAGTGACCTCCCACCCCCACCAACTCCCCGGCCAGGGCCACCCGGAGCCTCTGGGTTGGGTCGCACAGCTCCAGGCCTGGAGACACAGCGGGGAGCAGGGGAGAGGCCAGGGGGGACAGAAGAGAGAGGGAAGGAGGAGGACAGAGAATGAGGTCAGAGCCTGCATGGTGGCCAGCTCCTCCAGCAGATGACCTCCCCCCCCCACCCCTCGCAGCTGGCAGAGTGGCATGCTTCCTCAGGGACCCTGCCCCGCAGACCTGAGGCTACAGGGTCAGGGGCCCTGGAGGGGGCCCCTCACAGGCCTCTCTCTTCCCCCTCTCCTCTGACCTTCCAGTCAGTCCTTGTTCAAGGTTGTACAGCTAGTCAGGGTTACTTTTCTATTTTTTTCTTTCTGGTTTTGGGGCCACACCCCCCTGGTGCTCAGGGACACTGGGCATGGATCACTCTTAGAGGTTCTATTCCCTGACAACGGTTTAGTCTCAATCTTGGGGATCCCGTGGTGGGGGAGGTGGATTAAAGAAAGGCAAAAGTTGGGGCCAGACAATTAGTACAGTGGGTAAGGTGCTTGCCTTGCACGCAGCTGACCCGGGTTCGATCTCCGACCTCCCATATGGTCCCCTGAGCACCACCAGGAGTGATCCCTGAGCTCAGAGCCAGGAGTAAGGCCTGAGCATCGCTGGGTGTGGCCCCCAAACAAAATAAAAGAAAAAAAAAAAAAGCAAGAGTCGCGGATCCTTCAAAGACCAGGGCAGAGAGACTGCTTTTGGACAACAGGAACCTGGGTGGCCTGACGGGGTGGTGGGCAGGGCTGGGGCTGCAGAGAGGCTGGTATGAGTGCCCAGGGAAGGGGCTGTGGGAGGGGCCACACTCACGCATCAGGTAGACTCCAAGGTCAACGCCTGCAAGCAGGAAGCCCAGGAGGAAGCGCAGGGCCATGACACCCGTGGAGGAGCCGGCGGCTGCCCCTCCCACTCCACAGGGGCCCACCAGCCCCAAGGTCAGCAGCACAATCGCGCGGCGGCCAAACCTGGAATGCAGGGAGAACCTCTCATCATCCAGACTTCCCGAGCAGCAGTTTCCGTGTGTGTGTGTGTGTGTGTGTGTGTGTGTGTGTGTGTGTGTTGGGGGCAGCTACGCCCTTCAAAGCTGGAGGTGTCAGAACAGGAGGAAGCACTGAGGTGAGAGATGATGGGAAGGCATGGGGACCATGGATGAGCAACGTCTAGCTACTGGGCAAAGGGATAGCTACAATTTGGTTTATTGACCTGGGCTCCTGGGCTCCTTGTTCAAAGACGAGGAAATTCTCCAAGGCAGGGAGACCAACCAATGGAGAAATAGAATATTGCTTAGGAGAGCTAGAACTGATGGGATAAAATTCTTGTTCAGGGGGAATGAGGCTGGTCTAGCTCGGTCTAGTCAGAGGAGACGAGTCATTGATTTGTGAGGACAGAGCTATTGATCTTTGGAGGTGAAGCCATGGGACACTTGTGTGTAGGGGATAGTCTTGGTTAGTGAAGATGGAGCTTTTGATCTTAGAGGACTGAGTAATTGATGGGGGGAAATGAGGTAACTTTTCCACACAGTTGGGGCTTTAGCCTAATTAATCCACAGGGAGGGTTAAGTGGGGGCGGGGCCACTGGAGAGGAGATTCCGCTATTGAACTATGGGATTGGGGTTATGAATCTCGGGGGTAGGAGTCTTTGATTCATGTACAGATCTTTGTCCAGGTGGCTGGGACTTATATGAGATGAGCCTATTAATCCCTGGAGAGTGACCAATACAGACAGGGTCACAAATCAGGGAGATGGGACTCTCAGTGAGTCAAGAAGGACACAGCTCTTGATGTTTGACAGTGGGAAGAATATTAGGGTCACTGGGAAGGAGCAATGATTCCCAAGTGAAGTTATTAACACAACATGTAGGGCTACTTCTCCCTGGGGATGGGCTTTAGCTTGGTTTTGGGGCCATACTCTGCAGTGTTCAGGGCTTATTCCTGGTTCTGTATTTCTGACTCTGTGCTTAGAACTGGAGATGCTGCAAGGCAAGCCCCTTACCTCCTGCACTATCTCTCTGGCCCTCGTCATGGTTTTTTGGGGGAAGCTATTGATTTTAGGAGACTAAATGATTGTTTTCTGATAATAAGGCCAGTAGTGCATGAAGACGGGCCACTGACCTGGGGATTTAGGGTCACTTGCCCACAGGGGTGTGTGACTGTGGGCAGTGGGGATAGGTTTGACTTGTGGAAACTGGACTACTGAACGACGGGTTGTCTTTAATCTGTGGGGGTTGAGCCCAGGGATCAAATGATAAGCCTGCTGGGATGGGATGTAGATCAGCGGAGAGGCATAGATGGTCAGTGAGATGGAGCATCTAGTCAGTAGTGATGGTGCTGGGAATCAGAGATGGAGTATTTCATCTGTAAAGAGAGCTTTTGGTGGGGGCCTGAGCGATAGTACAGCAGGTAGGGCGCTTGCCTTGCACACAGCCAACCCAGGTTCCATCCCTGGTGTCCCATATGGTCCCCCAAAACTCTGCCAGGAGTAAACCCTGAGCATCACCAGGTGACCCCCAACACAAACCAATAAAAGGCTTTTGGTGGTTGTGGGTGGGCTTGAGGAGAGGCATTAACTCATGGAAATGAAGCTTTAGACCTGGGAGGATCTGAACACTGAGGATTCATGGGTATGTTCAGGGCTGCTGTTGTGGTCACTGACCCATGGAGCGGGGGCTGGGTAGTCTACCCCAGAGGGCAGTCCCACACGAGCAGGTGTGGGACTATGGTAGACAGGGGGTGAGGGCCTTCTTCTCCAGAAGTCGTTGTTGATAAGTGGGGGAGAGAAGCTCCTTGAGCGGGAGGGGCTCACTGCTCAGAGCCACCCTGGGGGTCACTGGGGACAGACCACGGATGCGCAGGAACAATGATCTTTCAGAACGGCAGGCGGAGATGGAGTGAAGGGTCCAGGCAGGCGGGCCAACACTGACCCTGAGGGTAGGGAGGCAGGTGGAGGGGATCAGTGGTGGTCAGGAGGGTTGGGGCTGGGGACCGGTGGGGGCTGTTCCCTGGTATAGAGGAGGTGCGGTTGAGGGATTTCTGGAGAGGAGGGGCGTAGATGAGGGGGCGGGGCTCCGTGCCACTGAACATTAGTGCAGAGGAGATGACGAGTCCAGCGAAGTCTTCTTCCTCTTGTAAACACCAGCTGCCTGGCCAGTTCCCCCCTCCTCCGCCCCCAGCACCCGCTCCTGCCCACCGTCCCTCCGCTGCGGGGGCGGGGCCACCCTCACCTGTCCGTGGGGTAGCCCAGAAACAGGTAGCCGGAGGCAAAGCCCAAGATGAACAGGATCTGCTCCAGGATCACCTGCCAGCCCAGGTCACACACCAGGTCCCACTGGGGGGCGGAGAGGGATGGTGCTGGCGTGAGGCCCCGCGCCCGGAGAGGCTGTTGGGGGGAGGGCGGGGGGTCTCGGCTGCTCCCAGCCACGCCGCCTCACCTGGCCTATGGCGTTGGTGGTGAGCACAGGCAACCCGTTGTAGTCCCAGTCCTTGAGGCAGTGGTTGAAGTCCGGCGGGGCGAAGCCGCTGCACGCGGGGTCCGAGCTGGTGGCGGCGGCGACGCGGCTGGCGGCGCTGGCGGCGAGGGCCGCGCTGGCCACGCCCGCGCCGCTGGCGTTGGGGGGCTGCTCCCAGGCCGAGGCGTTGGGGGGGAAGGCCCCGTAGTGGCAGTGCAGCGGGGGCGCCAGCGTGAAGATGGGGTCGGAGGCCAGGCCCAGCGCCACGAAGAGCACGGGCAGGCAGCAGAGGCCGAGCTGCAGCTGCTGGCCGCCGCCCAGCGCCCCCACCTGGGCCAGCAGCGCCTCGAAGCTCAGGGGGCCGGGGGGCACGGCCAGCGACAGGCTGCTACCCAGGCCCGCCTCGGCCCCCTCCCGCGCGCGCTCGCGCTCGCCCTGCAGCTGCTCGCCGGCCACCGCATCTCCCAGGGTCCCGACCTGCGGGGCGGGGCGGAGGCAGGTGTAGCGCCGCGCCGCAGAGCGGGGTGCAAGGGAGGGGTGCAGGGGGATGCAGGGAGGGGTGCAGGGGGATGCAGGGAGGGGGTGCAGGGAGGGGTACAGGGAGGTGGTGCAGGGAGGGGGTGCAGGGGTGCAGGGAGAGGAGGGCCTGGGGTGCGCGCGGGGGCGGGGGGCACGCCGGGCGCTCGGCGCGGGAGGTGGGGGTTGCGGGGCGAGGACGGCCTAGTTCCCCCCACACCTCCCTGGCGCGGGCACTTACTCCTCCGTTGGGGCTGGGGGTGATCTCTACCGTGCTGTCGATTTTGTTGCCGCCCCCGCCATTGGGCTCGGGGGTCCCGGTGGCCACCCGCGGAGCCAGCTTGCCGACCGCAGGGGGCCTGCCGGCCCGACCCGAAACGATGCGCTGTTTTCTGGCCCGGTGGCGCGCCGCAGCCGGACCGGAGCCCCGAGACCCCACTCCGCAACCGCCGCGGGCGCCTCCGTCGTCTCTGCGATCTCTGCGCGGTTTTCCCCTCCCCTTCCTTCAGACTCTCCTCCCCCTTCCCACGTCAGCAGAACCTTCGTCCAGACTTTTCGTCAGAGAGAAAAAGGGGGGCCAGGGCCCAAGGGAGGGAGAGGATGGGGCGCCGTCTCTGTTCCCTTGGTCTGTGGGTCATTGCGGGGGAAAAAGGGGGAAAAGCTGAAGCATAGCCTAGATTGTCACGAGTTTCCTCCATTCCATCCATCCATCCATCCATCCACCCATCCATCCTCCACCTATCCTTCATTTGTCTATCGATCCATGCATCCATCATCCACTTATTCTCCATCCATTCATCCATGCACAATCATCTGTCCATCCATGCACCCATCCATGCATCCATCCAAAAACACATCCATGCACCCACATCCATGCATCTATTCACTCTTCATCCACCCACCCATCATCCACCCATGCACCATCGTCCATCTATTCTCCATCCATGTACCATCATCGATCTATCTTCCATCCATCTATCCAGCCATACACCCATCCATCCAAGTACTCATCCATGCACCCACCCATCCATGCACCAACCATCCATCCAACCTCCATCCATCCATGCATTCACCCATGTACCGATTCATCATCCATCTATTCATGCCCCTGTCATCCATCCTTTTGTGCATCCTTCCATGCATCCATCTACTCAAATGTTCAGCAGTAGAATTTGTAAAGTGTTTTACTATGCAACTGAACCTGTGCTAGGTTTTGGGTCTGCCAGCAGAGTGGACCTCATACACCTCTGACAGCTAACTAAGGAGAGCCATGTGAAGAGGCAGCTACAGTAACAGTTTCTGCACAAGGAGGATCAGGTGGGGGGGTTTCCTTAGCTGGCCTTCTCCTCTCCAAAGAGACACCTGTAGAGGATTCACTGCCACCCCGGTTGAGTTGCCATTGTTTCTTAGCAGCATTTGGCACCCTTGACCACCTCTTCCTCTCAACACTTTTCCTTTCTTAGCTTCTAAGTCTCATAGCCCCCTGACTTTCACTTTTGTTCCTCCTCTCCAATAATGCATACTTAACCTTCTTCCTCAGCATAATTCAATGATTCCCGTCCTCAGAGGCTCAGGCCCCCTCTGTCCAACTTGGGCTTGTAGGGACACTGTCAGCTTCAAGCACCACCCAAACAAACAGTACAAACCAATACACACGTGATTTCTGGGAAGATGCCCACAGCTCTTCCTCTCTTCTGAGCTCCAGGCAAGTGAAAACAGCTCTTATTTGACCTTCTAGTGTAGGTGATCAAGCTCAGTAAGTTCAGGAACAAAGTCATGTTCTTCACCCTGTAACTTGGTTGTGTTTGTAGGCTTCTTTGCTCAGTAAATGGCCTCTCCCCTCACCAAGTCTCTTCACATCCCTTAGTGACTTTCCTCCCTACCAACTAGCAACTCTGTGGCAGGAATTTACAGAAGTTTATTAATTTATTTCATTTTTTTTGCTTTTTTTGGGGGGTCACACCTGGCAATGCTCAGGGGTTACTCCTGGCTCTGCACTCAGGAATTACTCCTGGCGGTGCTCAGGGGACCTTATGGGATGCTGGGAATCGAACCAGGGTCGGCCGCGTGCAAGGCAAACCCCCAACCCGCTCTGCTATCACTCCAGCCCCCAGAAGCTTATTTTGACCAACTCTTCCATCCACCCTCACCACCCAGATAATCCCTTTACAATGAACCTTGTAAACTACGCCTGGCACCTCAGGGGCATGAAGAACTCAGCAAATAACCAGTTATTGAAGAAACAGCAACTTCCTCTCAACCCTGAAAGAGTAAGGCCTACAGTGTGTTCTGTAGGTTTGGCCAATAGTCTCTCAAGAAATGACCCCGGAAGCCAGTCAGCAGGGTTTATTTATTGAGGTGCATGCCCAGTGCCTGAGGCCCAGTAGAGGAGTCTCTCCCGGACTACCACCATGTCAGGGTTCACCGGCCCGTCCTCCTTTTAGGCACTGATTTTCAGAGCCAAGAGATGTGACGACTGGAGGTGGCTCGGGGAGGCCCCAGCCACTGGATTTTCAGTGGGGCCACATCCTGAGGAAGGCATCCAGCTGGTGACCCAGAAACCCTGCACCCCCCGAGGGGAGGGCCCAGCTCCTCCCTGCTCCAGAGGGCCTGCCCCTGACAAAGCAGGGAATAATATTAAATATAAATAATTTATACAAAATGGCTCGTATAAAAAGCTGCGGGGTAGGAGATGCTTGGGAGAGGCTGAGATGATTGTGGGGGGGCGGTGGGTGGGGGCTGGAAGGAGGAGAGAGGCCACCGGCCCTCAGTCCCTGAGCGGAGCTGTGTGCCACCAGGGCCTGGCCGGCAGCTCTGGCAGACAGGGGAGGGGCCAAGCAGGCACTTCAGGGGGCCAGGCTGGCCAGCAGGGTGGTGAAGTGCAGGGCCCGCCCTGCCAGCTCTGCCACGCACTGTGCCATCTCCTGGGCCGCGGGCCCAGAGGGGTAGCCCAGGGCGGCACCCTTGACTGCCAGCACAGTGGCCCGCAGGGCCTGGCCCAGGGCTGTCCCTGCTGCCCCAACTTGGGCACGAAGAGGGGCCGAAGCTGCCAGCCGGCCGAGGGTGTCCCCCACAAACACCAGGCGGTGGGCGGCCACCACCACCCGCTTGCCGTGGGGTACAAAGAGGCGTGGGGGCTGGTTGGCCCTGGTGCTGGCCAACAGGGCAGCCACAGCCACCTGCAGCGCCGCGTAGTGGCTCTGGCATTGGCCAGCATAGAAGTGCAGGAGCTGGAGGTCTCCGGTGGCCAGGGCCAGTGGCTCTCCTGGGGACTGGGGCTCCTGGGGGCGAGAGGGGGGGTCACTGGCTACCCTCAGACTGGGCCCTCCCTGTCCCTCCCTCCCTCCCTCCCTTCCCTTTCTTCCTTTCTTCCTTCCTTCCTTCCTTCCTTCCTTCCTTCCTTCTCCTTCATTCCTTTTTCTCCCTCCCTCCCTTCCCTTTCTTCCCTTCTCTCCTTCATTCTTTTTTCTCCTTCCTTCCTTCTTTCCTTCCTTCCTTCCTTCCTTCCTTCCTTCCTTCCTTCCTTTCCTCCCTCCTTCTCTCCCTTTAGCTCTCCAGAGCCTCCCACAGTGAGCACAGGAAAGCTCTTGGATTTGATGTCGGAAAAATCTGGACCTAAACACTCTCAGTTGAGTGTCTGAGCTTTTCTGCTGGTCTCTAGCAGGGGAGCTGTAGTGCTGCACCCCACCCCCACTATGAACATGTGAACTTCGTGTTGTTAAAAAAAAAATTATGCGGCTGGAGTAAAAGTGCAGCGGGTAGGGCATTTGCCTTGTATGCGCTGATCTAGGTTTGATTCCCGGCACCCTACATGATCCCCTAAGCATCTCCAGAACTTAATTCCTTGAGTGCAGAGCCAGGTGTAACCCCTGAGCATTGCAGGGTATGGTGGCCCCAAAACAAAAATACATTTTTATTTTTGGGGCGATACTTGGCAGAGCTGGCGACTTGAACTGAGGTCGCTGCATGCAAGGCGAGCGCCTTAACCCCTGTACTATCTCTCTCCAGCCCCTCACGTGTCACTTCACTTTCTTAGTCCAGTTTTTCACCGGAACTGTCATGGATCTGGCCAGGACTCCGTGTGCACATATGGATCCAGGGCTGACCAGAAAGGACAGTGTCCAGACAGGACAGTGTCCAGTCCGGCCAGGAAGGCTGCAGGAGGCGAGGTGCCTGTGGAGGGCTGAGCACAGAGGCCGTCCCAGAGTGGTCAGACCAGGTCAGGGCCGTGCTCCACGCCGAGGCGGGCACAGAGCTCAGCCCCTGACTGCACTTGGAAACCACCCCGATGTGATAGCCCCGGGGGTGAGGGCCACTCTGGAAAGAACTGAAGTGACGCCTCACCTCCCCAAGGCCCCGAGAGATTAGCGAACAGCGTCCAAGGCCGTGGATTAGGAGCCTGGTCTCTTAGGAACCCAGGAATTTGGCTTTGGAGGTGCTTTGGTAATCACCCTGCCCACCTCTGACCCACAGTCCCCAGCAGGCTGGTCAGCCACGGACTGCCCTCCAGCACATTCTTTCCCCTCTTTCTGAATTCCTATTCCCTGTGTCGAGGTCCCACTCCTTCCTGCTGAACCCTGCCCCCTCTCTGAACACCCACTCCACTCAGCCCCCCTTCCTGATCCCCTGGCACCCTCCCAAGTCCCCGCTCCTCTGCCCAGCGCCCCGTCCCTCGGACACGCCTGCCCCGGTTACCCGCTGCTCCGGCAGTCTCCTCTCAGGCGGCTCAGCGTCATCTGGGAAGGCCTTGTCCAGGGGTTTGGACCCCTGCACTTTGTCCACGCCCTGTGGGAGGGGAGCAGGTCTCAGCACGGGTGGGGGGGAAGCAGGGCAAGAGCCCCCCACCCTCCCAGACCCCTCTCGTCCTCCTTGAGGACTCTCCTGCCATCTGAGGTCAGTCTCCTATCTCCAGGCCTGGGAACACTCTGGTGGCTGATCAGAGGGCCCAGTTCCCCCCAGGCTGCGTGGAGGGGGAGGAAGGTGCCCCGGAATGATTATCCTAAAGGTGGGGTGTTGGGTCCTGGGTTCCCAGGTCATGGGTGAAGGGGACCCAAGGGGCAGGAGGGGCTCACCTTCAGGTGGACATAGTCATACTCCTCGGCCATGGGGATGCCCTCGTACTCATTATGGTGGCCAGCGGGGTCCTCCTCCACTTCCCCGCCTTCGGGGTCACCCTCGGCCTTGGGGCCCCCGTAGCCAGGCAGGCGGGGAGGGGGCGGGGGCAGAGGCCTGTCCTGGATGCTACCTTTCCGGCCTGGAGCAGGAGAGGGGGCTGGGGACGGGCTGGCGGCCTCTGGGACGGGCAGGGCGGGCAGCGGGCGGCGGGACAGGCTCTCGGCTGAGGGCAGCCGGGGCCTGTGTGGCAGCGGGGGGCTCTTGGCCAGAAGCAGAGCCAGGGTGTCCAGTTCCTGGGAGGCTGAGGCCCCCGGCGGTTCCGGGGAAGGCGGCGCCTCGGGCCCCAGCAGGGGCACATCGTAGATGGCCTCGTCGGTAGCCCCATCGTCCACACTGTCCAGCAGCTCCTCGGGGGCTTCATACAGATTGAGCAGGGCTGACGCCCGTTTCAGATTAGAAGGAGCCGCGTAGAGCGGGGGCTCGGGTTCCCGGTCCCCCTCACACTCCAGTTCTGGCTCGGTCTCTGAAGGGGGCTTGGGGGTCAGAGGCACGTCATAGGGAGCTTCGTCCTCTCCGGGGTGCTGCGGGGCCGCAGGGCGGGAAAAGGAGGCGGGAGAGTCGTAGGGGTCATTGGGGGGGACTCGGAGGGGGGCGGGTGGCACATCGTAGACCTGCAGTGGGAATGGCCAGTGGTACTTCCGGCTCCATGGGACCCAGTCCCCGAGACCCCCACGCCCACAAGGACCGCCAGCCCTCACCTCCGAGGCATTTCCAGGGGTGCCCCTGCCTCTGGGGACCTTGTAGATGGGGTCCGGGGAGGGCGGGCAGGGTCCAGCAGGAGGTCCTGAGGTAAGACAGGGCCGAGCTGGAGGTGGTACCACATATACCTGTGGGACCAGTGGACTGTGAATTTGGTGTTGTGTCCACAGGGGGTGGGGGTAGGGGGCTCACAACTGCCCCCATACCCCAGAGAACAGCAATGCACGGGGAGAGGCAGCAGAGAAGAGGCCCGGGCCCCTGGGAGCTCCTTCTGCTCACCTCCTGGTCTTCAGGGCTGGGCTGGGGCACTGGATCTGCTGAGTTGGTGGGGGCCGAGGGCCCCTGGGAGGTGCCGGGTGGGGGCTCGGGGCCAGCAGGCAGGAGCTTCACTCGATTGGCGGGCACAATGCCCTGCTGGCCGTGCAGGGAGCAGAGGCACCAGCCGTCCAGCCCGCCAGCACCCTCCCTCTGCAGCACCCGCAGAACGTCCCCTCGGCGGAAGGACAGCTCCTGGGGGGACTCGGCCGTGTTGTCGTAGAGGGCCCGAGCCAGCTGGGCCTAGAGGGTGAGATGAAAGTGGGGATAGGGTCTTCCCATGCGGGGCAGGCCCAAGGCTCCCTGCTCAGAACACACCCCTCCCCATGCCCCCTTGGGTGAAAAGTGGATTCTGACTCTCTCGTATACCCCTCAGGCTTTCCCCTGTTTCTTTCTGCTCCTGGAACCAGAATCACTTGCACTTTGCCATCCTGGGGCTTGGGCCTCTGCATCCAGATGTGTGACAGTCCCTCCACCCCCATAACTCTACATGATGGCCCTTCACCTCTGCTGCAAGGCTCCCTGCCAAAGGCCTTTCCTTGACTCTGCTCCCCGGCCTCTGCTATATTTCTCTCTCCTTGTGTTTCCTTCCCAATCCAAAACACTATTTATCGCTTTAGTTCTGGGGTCACGCCAGGTGGTCCTGGTGGTGCTTCTGGTGGTGCTCAGGGGAAGGAAAACTGGGCTCCTGACTCTGCCCTTCCCATGTGGAAACATGCATCCCAGCCCTTTAAACTATATATGTATTTGTCTATTCATTTTTTTTTAATTATTGAGGCCAGAAAAATAGTGCCGTGGATAAAGTGCTTGCCTTGCACGTGGCTGACCTGATCCCTGGCATCTCATCTGGTCCCAGTAGCACTGCCAGGTGCAGCCTTCGAAACAAAAACAAATTGTTGATTTCTTTGCTTACACCCTAAACCCTGTCGGAACAGGGATTTTTGTCCTCCTCACCCCTGCACTCGGCCGAGCTGGAATCCATCCTCAGTAAATGCAGTGAGTGAATTTCTGCAAAGCCTCCTGAGCAAGAGACATCCAGCAAAGGCCTCACACAAATCCCCTCAAGCTCTGCTTCCTGGTCAGCATCTCCCACCAGCAAAAGGTCAGCTCAAGCAGCAACAGAAACCAGGTTTCCTGAGAGACCCAGCCCTGGCAGAACCTCAGCACAATACAGAAGAAAAAGGAAAGCACAGGAGAGGTTTTGTTCTCCACGTGAGCAAATAAGGGTCTATCAGAAGAGGCTGAGGTTACCATGGAGAAGAGAAGTGTGTGTGTGTGTGTGTGTGTGTGTGTGTGTGTGTGTGTGTGCGCGCGCGCGCGCGCGCGCACGCGCATGTGCTGGAGGTTGGCGGCCAACCCAGAGTGAACATGCATCAGTCTGTTTCTAGTCTCTGGTGTAATGTTTTTCCTTCCATCAGCTCCGACCCCCTGTGCAAATGATGTACACAGACACCGAGCAAGCCGCCCCTCAGTCACCTCCTTTCATTTAATCCTCACAACCCCTGCAGGAGGGAGAGAGAGGCCACCAGTATTTCCACCACTGAAAAGAAACGTGAGACAGGGAGGTTAGCAGGCTGTCACCGACACGCAGAAAATCCAGCAGTGACCTGGACCCTGGTTGCAAAGCCCGCCACGAGGCGCAGTCAACTCTCCTCCACCCCAGATGGGAGATTCCGCTGCTTTTTTTCTCCTGTTAGCAACTGTGTTTAAGTCCAGGGGTCAGTGACTCAAACCTGACTCCAGCCACTGACGAAGGCTTCCTCAGAGCCAACCGTCCTTCACTGAGACCCTCTTCAGGGTCCTAGGAACTGTCCTTCAGAAGCTCAGGCAACCTTGAAGTCCTTTGGTGGAATCAAGCTGAAGCCTTGCACAAAAACAAAATAGATTCTGCCTCAGCCCTGTCTGTTGTGAGACAGTGCCTGCGCCTGGGACTCCAGGCCCTGGGGCCAGCACGGCGGTAGAGACAGCTGCTGGTGAGGCTCTCCTGGATTCCCAAGCAGGTGACCAGAGGGGCGGACACATTCAGTAAGCAGCCCTGAGCCTTATCTCACTCACACAGGCCCTAGGAGGATGCCTCGGTGCCAGCAAGAACAAACACAGATTCCCCTGGGGAGGTAGGTGGGGCTAACAGCTGGGTGATTTTTAATTTTTTTTTTTTTTTGGCTTTTGGGCCACCCTGCAGTGCTCCGAGTTTACTCCTGGCTCTGCACTCAGGAATCACTCCTGGCAGACTCAGAGAACCACAAGAGATGCTGGGGATTGAACCCATGCAAGTCAAGACCCCAACCCGCTGCTCCAGCCCCAACAGCTGGGTGATCCTCACAACCATCTTCTCTTGCCTGATTCCAAACTCATCAAACTATTTCTTTCTTGGGGGTGGGGGGGCAGGACCATATCACAGGAAGTGCCAGGGATCAAAGGGGGGTTGGGCCATTTGCAAGGCATGTACCTTAATCTTGTACTCTCTGGTCCTCAAACCATCTTTTTTTTGGGGGGGTGGCTAGGGTACCACACCCAATGATTCCCAGGGATTAATCCTAGGTCTGCACTCAGGGATGATTCCTGGTGGGACTCAGGGATCTTATGTGGTGCCAGGGATCATATCAGGGTTGGACGCATACAAGGCAAATGTCTTACTCTGTGCTGTACGATCACTCGTTCCCCACTCCCTCCTCCGCATCACTTACAGATTTTATTCTGGGTCCCAAAAGGTTCTTTCCCACCAGGTTAAGCGGATATCACCAATTCGTGGCTAGCTCAGCATTTTTTTTTTCTAATTCTGAATGTAGGAATGAGTATTTGGATCTGGCCAGGGAAGAAGGGCACAGTGGGGGGCGGACAGCCCTGAATTTTGAGTGTAGGCTCTGCGCCTTTTGAGCAGACCATCTTTTTTGGTAGTAGTTATTGTTGTTTTGTTTGGGGGCCATACCTGGTGGTGCTCTGGGGGTAGCTCTGCACTCAGCAATTACTCCTGGCAATTGAGGGGCTCAGGGGACCATATGGAGTGCGGGAGATGCAACACTGGTCAGCTGCATGCAAGCAAGCTCTCTACCTCTTTCTCTAACCCCTTGAGTCGAACTACTTTGGGCAGAACCTTCTTTCTGAGCCTTGTTCTCTTGCATTTGTACAGTCCACAGGCACAGCTGAAGACCCTCCTTAGATAATAACAATACCCTCCTGACTGTGTTGTTGTGAGGACTGAAAAACGCACAATAGCAAATAATCAGGACAGGCCAGGAGTAGATATACTCACTATGTATTTAACCATTACGAAGCCCAAATAGCATGATTAGCATAAAAGCTGTCCCAGAGAGCTGGGGATTTAGGACCACAGGCCTAACTAATGGGCTTTTCACTGGACCTCCCTATCACCCAGGTCTGAACAAGGGGCCTGGAGGAGCTAAAAGGGGTTGATCTAAAGAGTGACATTTGTCCCCAAGTGGAAGGATGATGGGGGCCACACTCGCCAGCCTTCCAGTGTGCTCACTGGGAGAGGTCAGAGAGCCGGTGGCACCCCTGGGGTGGATGGAAGGCGGTGCAGGTGTGGGACTGGGCTGGAGGTGGGGCCGGGGGCGGGCTCCGCCCTGGCCTAGGTTTGAATTTCCACCAATGGGGCCAGACCCTGGGCCTGCAGTCGGGCAGCCGCAGCTGCGGGCCAACTGATGCTGGGTGCGGCCCCCCATCCACCCCTCTGTCCCCCAGCTGCTTGGGGAGGGCGGGGCTGCCTGGGGGAGCAGCAGTGGGCCACCAGCTCCCAGGGAGGCCTCCTCCCTCTGTGCCTCGGTGCCAGCGGTCTCCTCCCTTTGTCTGCAGTCCCCGGAAAGTGGCCAGAGGCTCGCTGACATCACCTCACCTCCGCCCTCCCGGTTGTCCCACAGCCCCCCTCCTTCTGGCTCTGTCCCCTCCCCCGCCCCCTGCCCCGGAGAAGGCCCACCTGGGGCCACTTCCCGCTTTTCTGCCTACTTTGATCTCTTGGTTCCCTCCCAGCCTCACACTTGGCGCGGACCACAGACCCCTTCCCAGCACCACCGACCATCTGTCCCCGCCCATGAAGAGCCGAGAGGGTTCCGGGGAGGCGCCCCCCACCCCCTCTCCCCGGAGGGGCAGCCTCCAGAAAGAAACAGAAGGAAGGCGAGAGGAGGAAGGGGGGGAGGGAGGCCGGCCAGAAGGCGCGAGGGATGAGTGATGGGAGCAGGGGAACAAAAGTGAGAGGAGGGGGACCCAGGCCCGCGAGAGACAAAAGACCCGAAGGAAAGTGACAGGAGGGCAGAAAGACCCTCGGCCTCCTCGCCCCGGGGACTCACCGACGTGGCTATCGCCATAGCCTTGGCCTCCGGGCGCCGGGCTCCGGGCCAGGCTGGGTCTCGCTGACTTCAGTAGTCGCGGCCCCGCACCATGGAGGCCTCCGCGGAGGGTGGACGGAGGAGGAGAGAAAACCCACAAAACTCCCCAAAAGGGAGGCAGCAGCCTGGCTGGGCAGGAGGAGGAGGAGGAGGAGCGGGGCGGGCCGGGGCGTCGCTGCGGGACCTCATCCAAGGGCGCGCGCGCGCCGGACGGTCCCCGTGGCTTCCCGGGGGGGCCCCCCGGAGCTGCCCGCCCTATGCGTCCGGGGCGCCCGGGGTCCGCATGGGCCGAACGCTCCCTTCCAGGGGCGCGGCGGGAGCCGGGGCTGCGCTCGACGCCTCTCCAGGCCGTTCAGGACGGCCCCAAGGGCTGCGGGAAGCCGCCCGGGCGGTTGGGCAGGACGGACGGGTTTAGGGGCCAACCCTCCCCCGCCTCCAGGGCCGCGCGGGACAGCGGGGCTCGCCGGCCCGTGGTCGGGGCGGCCGGGCAGGCGGGGACGCAGACGCCCGTCCCCCTGCCGACTCGCCCCAGCTGGCCAGGCGGGCGCCAGGGGCCTCGGAGCGGCTGTTCTCGCACCCCCGGCGGCGAGGCGGGTTCACACTCGCTAGCTGCACGCCCCGGGCCTGCAGGGGCGCCGCGACGGCGCCTCAGTCCGCGCAAGCTGCTGGGTTCGAAGGGGCGGGCCGGCTCCTGATATCCACCCCCCCACCCCCGCCGTCCTTCACCCGGAGCCCGGGCGCCCAGATCCCCTCCACCGGCCCCCCAGCTTCACGTGCACCGCGAGCAGGCGCGTCCCCCGGCCGGTGCGCCCCGCAGCTGGGGCAGGTGTCCCGGAGAGGGGTGGGGTGGACAGGCCCGGAGCGCAGGGCCGGCACTCTCCAGAGGAGAGGTTTTGGGGGGGGGGGGCGCGCGGGCGACTGTGTTCCCCACCTCGCGCGCGGCTCCACGGCCCGCCCCGGCTCGCGCCCCGCTCGGCTCCTTTCTCCTCCCCTTGGGCCCTCGGCTCCCGCGCGGGGCTCAGTCCTGGGGACGAAGAGAAAGGAGGAGGGACGAGGGGAGGAGAAGGGAAGGGGCGGAGGAGAAAGGGGGACGGTCCCTCCCGTGGCGGGTGTTGAGTTTCAGCTCGGGACCCTCGGGCCAAACTGCGCGCCCCCTCCCGGCCCTTCTCCCCGCCACGTCTCGGCTCACGCGTGGTGGGCGCGGCCCCTGCGGGCGCCCCCCGCTCCCGCTCGCCCCGCGGCTGCCCTTACATCAGCCCTGCCTCTGCCTCTCCTCGGGGAGGGGCGCCCTCCTCCCGCCTTTGCGGGGGTCCTTCTGGGAGCCGCGCTTCCCTGGGGGGTGGCTGGCGGAGCACTAGCGTTCCCTGGCTGGGGGGTCCCGGGCCCGGGGAAAGAAGCGAGTCCCGCAGGAAACGCCTGGCCCCAGCGTCGGCGCCCAGGGCTGCAGGCGGCCGGCTGGGCCGCCGCGGACACCCCGTGGCCAGTCTGGGCCTGTCCGCCCCGCGGCTCCGCCGCCGCGCGCGCACCCCAACTCGGAGAAGCACTAAAGGCTGGAACAGGGACCGGTGGGGAGTGGCGGCTGTCACTGCAGCCACTCCTTTTCCAGGGTCTTCCTTTGGGGATACAAGCGAATACAGACGGAGGCTGGAGAGAAGCCTCTGTCTCTGCGTTTCCTTCTCTCCTCCTCTTGAAAAGAGTGGAGCTGCCACGCGGAGTGAGAAGCTGTAGTGTACTTTCCAGTGTTTACCTTTAGCAAATTAACACTCCAGACACATGCAGCTGACAAAGGCTCATTTGGAGGTAACATCTGAAGTCTAAATGAAGGCCTTTGTGAATCTGAGAAGTTGGAGAGGTGCTCCGGGCTCCCCATATTCCTCAGGTACCTTGCCTGGTCTCTGCAGGCAGGAGAAGGGGGTACCTGTCCGAGTCCTCTCTTCCTTCTTGCATTATTGCCTGGGCACTTGAGAGCAAACTTTTGCAGCCAGTGGGGAGAAAGCTTTGGAGATTTTTCTATGTTTGTTTTGGGGCCTTACACGGCATTGCTCAGAGTTTACTTCTGGCTCTGTGCTCAGGGGCTACTTCTCCTGGGATTTGGGAGACCATATGGCATGCTGCAGATTGAATTCAGGTGACCCCATGTAAGACAAATGCCTTATCTGCTGACCTATCTCTCTGGCCTCTTTGGGGATTTTGTTTTTGGATTTTTAAAAAAAATTTATTTTTATGAAGTTGTTCACGATGATTTATTACATTCAATATCCCAACACCAATCACACCAACATTACACCTTCCCATCACCATTATTTCCAGTTCTCCCAACCACCACCCAAGCTGCCCCAATAGCAGTCCCTAAATAATTTATTTTGTATTGCTTGTTATGAATAATTCGCTAAAAATAATCACAAAAAATTTCCTTAGGATTTTTTTTTTTAATGGACTCCAGGACCTCACTTGCAAAGCATATGCTGGTGGGCTGGGGAGATATTCTGGAGCAAACATGGGGATAAACCACTTTGAACGGTGATTGGTTCAGAGCCAGGAAGAGTTCCAAACAGTGGCTGTTAGCATGTGGCCACTAGGGAGGGCTCTTCCATTGCTGGGGAGTCACTGTGAACCTTCTCTGCCCAGGCAGGGCAGAGGTGGGTAGACAAATGAGTTCCCACCCATGGTTCCCACAGAATCATTAGACTGACCCAAATGGAAACAGATGGAGGCCATAACAGGCGAAGCAGGTATCCATACCAGGTAGAACCGTGCTGTGGGAGGTGGGGCAGTGGGTGGGTATTGGATAGCAAAATGCAAGTCTGCAGAAATGTGTTCAAAGCTTCTGGAATGTATAGGTGCAGCCCAGAAGCAGACCCAGGGGTAAACCCCGCTTCATAGTCTGGTCACCTTGGTCCAGTTATATAACATCTGGAGTCTCCACTCCTCCTCTCAGCCACTTTGGGGAGGAGTAGACAGATGCCAGGTGAAGAGATCTGTTCCCTGGCCTTCCCTCCTTGTCTGTCTCCCACTGTCCTCCCTGGAAGGGTTCTTATTCTCTGTTGTCCTGCTGCCTTCTTCTTTGCAAATAAAGGTTTAAGGTGCATTTTTTTGGCTTTTTGGGTCACACCTGGCAATGATCAGGGGTTACTCCTGGCTTTGCACTCAGGAATCACTCCTGGTGGTGCTCAGGGGACGATATGGGATGTTGGGAATTGAATCCAAGTTGGCAGCGTGCAAGGCAAACACCCTACCCGCTGTGCTATCCCTCCAGACCCACTTCTAACTTGTTCTAGGGAGAGGTCTGGTCTCCTGGAGCCTTGGGAGAAGTCCCTGGCTGGCCAAGCAGCTAAGAGCCTGGATGGGTGGTACTGGGTCCCCACCTCAGTGTTGGTCTTTACTGTGTTTATAAAGGAAGGGAAATTCATGGAGGAGGAGGAGGAGGAGGAGGAGGAGGAGGAGGAGGAGGAGGAGGAGGAGGAGACGAAGAGGAAGGAAGAAGAAGAAGGAGCAGGAGGAGGAAGAAGATGATTACTGACTTGGTGGGGAAAGGAAGGAAGGAACCCCCCTACCTACCTTCCAGGGGCCCAGCCTTCTCTTCCTCTTTTTCCCCTTTCCAGAAGGCTCCTACCATCTGGTCACTTTTTCATTTTACCCCTTGCCTTCCTTTACCTGTTCTACTGGCTAAGTGAAAATTCTCAGTGGCTCACACATTCTTCCACATTCTCTTTGGCCATAGCATCAAATTTGCCTGGGTTCAAAAGCAGGTTCCTACATGGGGTGGAGACTTTGGCAAACTCTATGGTCTCGGTTGGAGCCTCTTGTCTGTGAAATGGGGTCATCATGGAAACTATGGGGCTGACTTGTGAGGTTCAGAGATCCCTGAGACTAGTGCCTGGCTGTGCCAATATTGGATGAAAGCAACAATTATTGGCTGGGGAGATAGCTAAATTGGTAGATATATCAGCACATCTCTGGCACTGGTGGAAGTGGTACATACTAAAAACAGAATAAAAGGGTTAGAGAGATAGTACATCAGGTAAGGCACTTTCTTTGCATATAGCCAACCTGGATTCAATCTTCAGCATCCCATATGGTCCCCTGAGCCCAGTAGGAGTGATCCCTTAGTGCAGAACCAGGAATAATCCCTGAGCATCATCAGGTGTGACCTATCTACACCCCCTTCCAAAAAAAAATAAAGCAGAAAATAAACCCAAATAATTCTTCTTCTTCTTCTTCTTCTTCTTCTTCTTCTTCTTCTTCTTCTTCTTCTTCTTCTTCTTCCTTCTTCTTCTTCTTCCTCCTCCTTCTTCTTTCTTCTTCTTCTTCTTCTTCTTCTTCTTCTTCTTCTTCTTCTTCTTCTTCTTCTTCTTCTTCTTCTTCTTCTTCCTTCTTCTTCTTCCTTCTTCTTCTTCTTCCTCCTTCTTCCTTCTTCTTCTTCTTCTTCTTCTTCTTCTTCTTCTTCTTCTTCTTCTTCTTCTTCTTCTTCTCCTTCTCCTCCTCCTCCTCCTCCTCTTCCTTTTCTTCCTCCTTCCTCCCCTCTTCTTCCTCCTCTTCCTCCTTCTTTCTTATTTTTTGGGGGGAATGCACTCACAGTTGTTCTCAGGGCTTACTTCTGGCTCTGTGTTTGGGGATCATTCCTGGCAGTGCTCAGGGGACTATATGGAATGCCAGGGATTGAACCTGGGTCAGTTGCATGCAAGACAAGCACCCTACCTGCTGTACTATTGCTCTAGCCTCTTCAGTAAAAGCAGTTTTATTTAGAGATTGTGAGAAAGGAAAGAGAGAGTAGCCCGTTCAAGAGAGAACACGAGCTTCTCTAAAGGGGAGAGAGCTGAGAGTACATTGGAGGTGCTGGTGTGAGTCTCGTCTACTAGAGAATGTGCCGCTTGTCTTTGCAAAGGTGCTCAGACCTAGTTAATATTATGGATCGCCCCATGGGAGCAGCAGAAAGTCAGGACCTGCCTGGGAGAAATATCGTGTAGATGATACTTAAGTACAGTTGATTTCTCCCCTCTTGCCTTGAACCCGAATCCTCTACTAGAGCCTGTAAAACTCTACCTTTTCATCCCATCCCAGCCCATCTCTCCTTTACCCTTTGCTGTACATTCACATGGCCTTGGGGGTTTAACAGTTTGGCCAAGCTCTTCCTCACTGCTAGAACTCTGTTCCCTCTGCCTGGGCCACTCTGCGCCCAGACCCTTTCCAGCCTCCTTTTTATTTTCAAGCTCGAGAAGCCCATGTCCCAACCCCGTCTCTTCCTATCTCATAACGCTGTTTCATTTTCTTCACATGTGTATTATCAGACATGATCTCATTCTTGTTTTTGATCTGTCTCCTCCTTAAAACAAAAGCATCTGGAGGGAGACAGCTTATCGGGCTGTGCCTCCACTGCATTGCTAGCATCTAGAATTGTGTCTGGGGTGTAGTAGGTGCTCAACAAATATTTGGACAGTGAACTAAAGAACAAAGGCAGCAGTGACTGCAGGACAAAGTGAAGAGGGCCCTCCCTGTGAAGATGCAGCTCTGGGTTGACAAGGAGGGGCTGTCTGTTTTTTGCCTGTTCCCTGGGATTTTCCCAGGTCAGATTAGATTCTCCTTGAAAAAGGGTTCATCTATAGGCTGGAGCGATAGTATAGTGGGCAGGGCATTTGCCTTGCACGCGACTGACCCGAGTTCAATCCCCAGTATCCCATATAGTCATCCAA